TGCTCACTTGTGAGATCTGGCAGGAGAGCACAAGTCAGTAATGCAGTCACCTTAATCTCACTGTGACTTCTCAACAATATATTTCAAACACAATGGTGGGCCAAAGAATGTCATTTTGCTGACAATGAGGTATTTCGCAAATGCATTTTAATTCTGCAAAAATACTTTAATTTGACCTCCTCCACTAGTGTTTAATTTGCTACTTTTAAAATTAAATATGTTTGAATGTTCTTTCTTTTTAATGAATTTGGTTTTAAAATTTCCTTTATTCTAAGTTCAAAAATCTAAACTGTTAACAAAAAAATGCTTTGGTTTTGTTGAATAAATTCTCTGTATGTTCATCACAGCTGTGACTCCTTTTGGAGTCCTGCCATGCTGACTCCACTCCAAAAGTAAAAGCCAAGGGGATGAAGGAGGCTCCATATCTGACATCTGATTGGTCTGCGACACTGAGCTGGACTCTTTTCTGAGTCCCAGATGAAAAGGGAGCACTAGACCTTAGCAAATAGGAAAAAAGGGAAGGAGAGAATAAAAACAATACCATCACTTGGCCCTCTAAAATGAAAATTTGAAGGAAAAACTCCTGATAGAAAGATCATCTTGAGAGTTAAGGCTGGCATGCTGGGAAAGAGCGTGAGGAACCTGAAACAGTGGTTTCAGGTTTGTATTTCTTATATCTAATAATGATTCTGGATGTTGGCTGGCCTGGCTGGATGCAGCTGTACCTGGATGTGGGGCTTTGCCATGCTACCGAGCTGTGAAGCGGGAACGCGGACACCACAGGAGGCTGTGTGGGCACAAGGACAACACCATCCCACTTACATCTCCACTTCCCTCCAAAACAGGCAGACACAAACTCCATGTCTGCCTGGACATATTACTGTGTGTAAGTACTATCAGTACTTGCTATTTGTGTTAATAGCTGTAGCAATTGTGAAAGTGGATAAAAGTAGAAGCTGAAACTTCAGAGAAAAAAAAAGACTGTTGACAGTAGGTCCTGAAAAAACACTGTGCGGCAGGGGCCAGGGCACCCAGGGCCCAGAGAAACAGCTTGGATAATCAGAATTCAAAGGCTAAATATCTATCCTTTACGAGCAAAGACCTGTCACTGACAAGGCAGATGAGAGGCAGATGAGAGACGAACATTCATTCAAAACACAAACCTTTTAACAAGATGAAACGCTAGGGGATTTCTGCCTTTCTGATTCCTGTCCTGACTGATGCACTCTTTCTCTGCCTCTACGTCTGCCTCGCTTCCTTCGCAGAAGTAGATTTGTAGGCTTTATCTGCCATTTACAAGACAAGCCCTGCAATTAGCCTCAGACGCATACCCATTTCAGGTGACTCAGGTGGCAACTCAGGAGGATCAAGCAGGCTGAAGGCAACCTTAACTATTAATGCTCCTTTTCCTTACAGTTGCAGATCTTAGTACATATCAGTCTTCCAGTGGATTAATGAACAGCATTAAAAAGCCAAATGCAGCCATGCTGATTTTTATCCATAGGAACAACAGAATTTATTGGTTAAAATGAGCATCGCTGAATACAGTTTAATCAAGCTGAACGCGTTAAGACGTTTTTAGAGAAATGATTTAAAAGAACTACTTAAAATGTTTAAGCAAACAGGGGCTAGATAACAGATAACAAAAGGTCACAAAAGAGAGTTTTAAATTACATTTATTTATATTTTTTGAAATTTAAGTTTATTTAAAAAATGCTTTCCTGGTGAAAAGCCTAATTAGAAGTAGAAAAGCTGAGAAAGACAGACAGCAAAATAAAATTGCAACAGAACAGAATATATTCGAAACACACATTATGAAAGGTGACAAAAATATGATTCAAGTAACCCAGAGGTGATTTGGTTTGGCATGAATTCTGTGCTCTGAGATGTTTATCTCTTCAAAATAAATTACATCTATGCCATCTCAATAACTTAAATAGGAGTCATGTTTGAGGTATCATTAAATTTAGACACTGCCTGTCAGAAAACCACAGGAAAATATATGTGATTAACCTGAAAGATTATCCTCCACAGTAAATATTTGGGTAGGGGTGGGGAAATCTCTGTAACAGGGAAAAAGAATTACACTTTTTCTCCTCGTACAATTACGCCTTCTCAGAGACATAAAAAAATATGCAGATAAGGCACTAATTGCAGAGGGACATACATGATTTGTGATTTGACCCCAACTGGCAGAGTTTTCAAGCAGATTTGTTGGCCTCTTTTCATTACAGTGAGCATTTTAAAACCACCTACAGGTAGTTTCACATTTTTCACATTCTGAAATGGAGAAACTCCATCAAATATCAAATATCCTCCAGAGTAACACAAGACCCTTCCTCCAGGCTTGCTTCAGCCCAGCTTCCTTCCACGGATTCCACCATTCCCTCTATGTCCCTTGGAGAAGTTCCTTTATTTTTGCCCCCATAACGGTCTGCTG